GGAGGCCAAGGTGGGCGGATCCCCTGAGGTCAGGAGCTCGAGACCAGCCTGACCAACATGACAAAACCCTGTCTCTATTAAAAATACAAAAATTAGCTGGGTGTGGTGGCAGGTGCCTGTAATCTCAGCTGCTTGGGAGGCTGAGGCAGGAGAATTGCCTGAACCCGGGAGGCAAAGGTTTCGGTGAGCTGAGATCACGCCACTGTACTCCAGCCTGAGTGACAGAGTGAGACTCTGTTTAAAAAAAAAAAAAATGGTATTTGTAGGTGAAAGAGGTCAATTTGGGATCTGTTGAATGATAACCAACTATTTCCTCTGCTCTCTTTTCTTCTGAGGACAGCCGCTTTGGGTGGAGTCTACACTGAGATATCTAAAGCAGGGGGCTAGATCTAGGCTCAGTGACTAGAGGCTGGAAATTGGAGAAGGAAACGTGGGTGTGGACATAGTAGACAGGTGAAGGAGGTCTTTCAGCTACCTGAAGGACAGCCGCTTCCCTTATCAACATTTCCTTTCTTTTCATTACTTTCTTTTCGGCATCTATCCAACGCACTGAGAGTGACTTGCAGAAGATGTGCCCAGCTCTGTGTTTTTTTATTTCAAGGGCAAGCTGGATCTTGAAGGAGGGCAGAGCAAACCCTTCAGGAGCACTTGCTCTTGAGGGTGCTGTGTTCACGTTTGTGGGGAGCTGACATCTTCACGCTGCTTGTGGCTACCCAGCAGGATCACTGGGGAGCAAGACAGAGGAAGGACTTTTTTATAGTGAGTGCTTTGAAAATGAGAACACAGAATTCCTCCTGAGTCCTGAATACTTAGGCTTAATAAGTTTTCATGGCAGCAGCTGGTTCTAAGGTACATGGGGTGAAAATCATATGACCTTCTTGCCAATGTAAAATATCCAAGACAAAAAACCCAGCACTGACCGACTAGTTTAAAATGGAAGTAAAGCCTACCTTTGTCTAAATTGAAAGCCACAAGATACAGGACGATGTTCTGTCCCACCAAATGGAGGATTTCCTTTAACAGCATCCATGACAAATGGCTGTTAGCCTCTTTGTAAACAATTCCTGTGATGAGAAACTTAACTACCATTCAAGGTACCCCAATAACCTGTTGTTGAAAGATGTTCCTCTTTATACAGAGCTGAAAACTGCCTCCCAGTAATTTCCACCCACGAGTTCTAATTCTGGAACTACACACAGAAAGTCTATTTCCTCTTTCAGATGACAGGCCTAATATTGTATGACCATTTTCTTGTCCCCCTTTTTCTTCTCTCTGCATTCTCCTAAGTCTGTTTTCTAGGCCTGAATTCTCTCAACTATTTCTCAGTCTTAAATGGCTCCCAGACCCTTCTTCTGGAAATGCCCTAGATTTTCACTATCCCAGCTAAAGAAAGTTATCAGGGATAAACAGAAGATTACAGATAGGTTGGGTCTAGTGGCTCACACCTGTAATCCCAGCATTTTGGGAGGCCAAGGCAGAAGGATTACTTGAGCCCAGGAGTTCAAGACCAGCCCAAGCAAAACAGTGAGACTCTGTATCTAGAAAACTAAATACATAAATAAATAAATAATAAATGAATAAAATTAGCCAGGTGTGGTGGCATGTGTCTGTTGTCCCAGCTACTTGGGAGGCTGAGGTGGGAAGATCACTTGAGCCTGGGAGGTCGGGGCTGCTGTGAGCCATGATTCTGCCACTGCACTCTAGCTTGGCTGACAGAGAGAGACTCTATCTCAAAAATAAAATAAAATAAAAGTAAAGTAAAAAAGTATTACAGATGGGCCTGCTGGGCATAGAGGCCAGTGGAGCTGTATCTCTTGAGCTGGGCATTGATGCTCTTATGGCTGGTTAATCTCAAAATCTTACTTTAATAAAGAAACTAGACATAGAAGCTTACAGTCTGATTCCATTTGTATGAAATCAAGAAAAAGCAGAGCAAATCCTTGGTGATGAAAATCAGGAAGTTATTTCTTTGGGGAGGAGGAATGGAAAATTCACTGGAAAGGGGCACAAAAGAATATTCTGCAGTGATGGAATTGCTCCTTATTTAGTTTGGTATAGAAGACACATGGGTGTACGGTTCTCAAAATTCATCAAATTGAGGTCTAATTTGTATATTTTACTGTACATAAGTTGTACTTTAAAGAAAACTCATATTTTTCATACAGCAAACTGTTGTTTCCTCAAAATTTCTTTTCATTTATTTAGCTTGAGATATTTATAAGATAAAAAACTGCCACAAATGTATATATCAAGAAGAGCAGCTGCCTGCTTTTCTATTGAAAGCCAATTTTAAGCATGCACTGATTTTTCTTCTCTATCATGTACTTCCACTTTTGTGTTGAAAGAAAAATAAAACAAAATCTCAATCACAAGTGATGTGTGAATGCCAATTACCTTCATAAAAACTAATTGCTCCTCAGAATTTCACTAAAACGCAATGATCATAAAGTGATTAGAAAAATCTCTACTGAACTGAAATATGACCTATATGCCCATGGAATTCAGGGAAGCAGTACCTTTTAAATAAACGCTAATTACATAAAAGCACATGATAATAGAGGTTTCTTTATAGGTTCTTCAGTGCAAAGAGGACGTCTTTTTAAAAAGCAATTTTTCCAAGATGTTCTTTTTATTATTTTTGACTCAGAATTTTGGCTCAGCCCACTAAAGCGGCAAGAGGCAGGTTTTCCAGAGATCGGAAAGAACTCTCTCTTCAGTCAGTGATTGAGACCATTTTCAAAGTTTATCCCCCAAGTGATCCAAAACAGGATTAAAGAAAAAAGCCAGTGGAGCGCTCCAACCCCTGTCTTACCACAAGAAAACCACAGACAAATTCCATTATAGGATCATCCTTTGATACACCTGACCAGTACTCCTGAAGATGGTCAAGGTCATCAAAAACGAGGAAAGTCTAAGAAACCGCCACAGTCTAGAGGAGCCTAAGCAGACATGAGGTCTCAATGTCATCTGTACCCTGGGTGGATTTCTGAAACAGAAAAAGGACATTAGGGGAAAACTGAGGCAACTGGAAGAAAACCATGATCTTTCATTAATAATAATGTGTTAATATGATTTCATTAACTATAACAAACATTTACTATCATTCTAAGATGTTAATAATAGGGGAAATTGGGTGACAGGTGATGAGAACCACCTGTGCTACCTTCTCATCTTTTTCAGTCCAAAATTAGTTCTAAAAAATGGGCTACTAAACGGTTTGCATAGTATTAAAACAAGCCCAGAAGGCTACCCACCAAAATTTTTTCAGAGGTTACCTATTTCCAGAAAGGGATGAAAGTCTTTTTTTTTTTTTTAAATATGTGAAGAAACGGCCACAGCAGCAGGTGCCTTTACCCTGAACCCTTTGCATACTTCTTTGGGTCTTGGGAGGGCAGTATTAGTTTCTGATGTATACTTTGACTCTGCAAGGACTCACACCTGCAGAATAGGAGTTTGAGTTTTGATCCTAAATCAAGTGTTCCACATTTTGACCAACATTTGGTAATGCCAGTATTTTTGATATTAGCAACTTTAGTGGGTACGATGTCTCATCTTGGTTTTACTTTGTATTTTCCTGATGACAACGGATGTTGACAGCTTTTTATGTTTTTATTGGCCATTTGTAGATTCTCTTTTGCGAAGTCCTTCCTTCTGGGAACTTTGCTTCACCTTCCATCATTGGGTTCCAAGTCTAAAACCCGGATTAGTTCCAGTTACTGGGAAAGAAATCATGCATTTTTATTGGAGCAACTCCCTTCTCCCTTCCTCCTCCTCCTCCCTCCTCTTCCTCCTCCTCCCCCCTCTTCCTCCTCCTTCTCTTCCTCCCCCTCTTCCTTTTCCTCCTCCTCCTCCTCCTCTTCCTTCCCTCCCTCCCTCCCTTACTTCCTTTCTCTCTCTCTCTTTCTTTTCGCTGGGTCTCATTGTCTCACCCAGGCTGCAGTGCGGTGGTGCCATCACAGCTCACTGCAGCCTCAACCTACTGGGCTCAAGTAATCATCCTACCTCTGCCACCCGAGTACCTGGGGCTACAGGTGTGCACCTCCATGCCCAGCTAATGTTTGTATATTTTTGCAGAGACAGGGTCTTACTGTGTTGCCCATGCTCATCTTGAACTCCTGGCCTTAAGTGATCCACCCACCTCAGCCACCCCAAATGTTGGGATTACTGGCATGGTTCACTGTGTCTGCCCCCTTCAGTGTCTCGATTATTCATTTTTGGTTTATTTTGATGGTAAATTGAAGAGTTCCTTTGTTAACTGTCCATCTATTTTGCCCTTAGGAAAGCTGTATTCTCTTGACTGTGTCCATAGCTGTCTTGACCAGGTCCTCAGGACTCTTCTAACTTTGCTGCTCATCGTGATAACTGGATCTATCTGATTTCTGATAGCTAAACATCATCATCTGTCTTTGACTCCCCCTACCTCCACTGCAGGGTGGTTGTGATCATTGCTATTGCTATCAGTTAGCTTAGTTCTGTGTTCTGTGATCACATTTTCTACCATTACCAATGACCTGTGGGGAGGAACCTCTGTGCTTTTTAGCGGTGCTGGTGTGCTTCTCACCAGTGGACTGCTTATGGCTTTCCTGTGCACTGTAATCATTTGGTGAGTATCCTGGCCTCATCCTGTAGATCTCCTCCAGCATGCCCGCTTCTGTGAATCTTCTAATCCCTTCTTACAGCAGCTGCTAGGGTAATCCTGGCATTTCGCCCTCCTTTAGTGGGAGCCATTGCTTTTCCCATGCATCTAAGAAATAGCCTAGAGACTAGAAATAGCCTAGTGAGTAGATACCATTGCTTAGAGTCCTGCACAGAATGTGAAAATCTGCATTTCAGAAGCATACTCCCAAACCAATAAGCTTTTTATAAACCAAAAATAAAACTATAAGTCCATCAATTGATTGAATGGATCCCTTCTCTCTGCCAAGGGGATTCCCAGGTAAACCTGAAAAACTAGTTCAAGCCATGATGGGGAGCGGGGAGTTGGGCTTGCCTGGTTAGACATGCCTCTCCCTTTAGAGCAGGCGTCCCCAAACTATGGCCCCGCGGGCCGCATGCGGCCCCCCGAGGCCATTTATCCGCTCCCCCCGCCCCCCGCCGCACTTCAGGAAGGGGTACCTCTTTCATTGATGCAGTAAGAGGAGCACAGTATGTGGCAGCCCTCCAATGGTCTGAGGGACAGTGAACTGGCCCCCTGTGTAAAAAGTTTGGGGACGGCTGCTTTAGAGTTCTGCCACATTTGAGCAGCATTAAGATTGAAACAGAGATCTTAAGAATCACAAAACACAGTCTTTGTAGCAATAAGATACTAAATTCCAACTTGACTCTGGGATAACATTGCCTGACAGATAGCAGGCCTTGAAGGCAATCAGAATAGTTTACTCCAAAATGTATTTCTTTGACATATTTTGAAATGGCCATGCAAAGCTGTCTCTTATGGGGAAAATCTACATTTTGTAGAGAATCCCTTTCCCTTTCCAGGTCTTTTCCTGATGCAGGAGAGATTAAGAATCTAGTACCTTTTTAGGTCTGACAAGAGACATTTACCATCTATTCTCTCTGAAGCCTGCTCCCTGGAGGCTTCACCTACATAATAAGAACGTTGGTCTCCACAACTCCTTATCTTAACCCATAAACTCCTTTCTATTGATTTCAAGTCTTTCGATTAATAACTTAACTGTGGCAACCAACTGCCAGTCAGAAAATCTTTGAATCCACCTATGACCTGGAAGCCCCGCTCCACTTTGAGTTGTCTCATCTTTTCAGACTGAGCCAATGCACACCTTACATGTATTGATTAAGGTCTGCCTGTAACTTCTGTCCCCCTAAAATGTGTAAAACCAAGCTGCAAACCAACCACCTTGGGCATATGTTCTCAGGACCCCGTGAGATGATACCTTGAACCTTTGTTACTTACATATGGCTCAGAATGAATCTCTTCAAATATTTTACAGAGTTTGACTTATTTTTGCCGACACGTTCCTTATTCAGTATTATGTTCTAGCCTCTTTGATCAAGTAACTCAAAATCCAGTCCCATGTGTGTACCTGCTAGGTGGGGCTCCTTTAGGATGTAGTCCTTTTTGTCTTTTGCCAGGCCCAGCACATCTGCAGCTGGGTTAAGCTGCAACTTAATTCTAGTTCGAAGATGCAACTATAGGCCCCCTGGTCCGGAGGGGAGGTAGAGGCCTCTGCATTGTCTTCAATAAGGGAGTGGTCCTAGCTTTTAACAGAGAGAGGTGAATCACTTTCGTCTTCAGATGGAAAGGATTTAGGGGAATCTGGGAACTCAAGAGTGTGGGGAAAATCGACCCATACATTCCACCTCCCAGGTCAGGATTCATTTTCCCCCAACCACATTGCTAACTTTGGCGTAACAGATCTGCCTTGATTAAGAGTTTTAACCCTTAGTGGAGTTCTGGCAAAAATCACCATGAAGACATGGGTCTGCGTCTGGGTCTCAACTTTTCCTGCCCTCTGGTGAGGAAAGCCTCTTTACCTTCCTAAAGACCCTCTGGCTTTAACGATGGCTTTCAATAGCCTGTTAATTGCTCTCGGTTTTGGTTGAGCTAAATTCTTTCTGTAAAGCTTCAATAGAGAGAGTATAGCAACAGGCATCCTACCTCACTTTCCTAAGGTTCCTCTTTCCCCTATATTATTCTAACACTAAGTACATAGTACCGGCTATTGTATTCCCTTTTCCCTATGCACTATTCTGCATCACTACGGAGGAAATTACAGTAATTGGAACAGGGGCTGTCTGTGCTCCGCTGCCTCCAGTGATGGGGGTCTTCATTGCTAGCCACGTCATGAGTGAGCCAGCTCCTAAGCATCTTTTCATTGCCTACTTTCTTGGACCACTCCTGGCTCTGTTGGGGTGCTTCCGAGGCTGAATTCTCCGGGAAGCAGATTCTGAGAATAAGGTCAGTCTTCAGGATATTTATTAGGGAGTGTCCCTGAGAACATCTGTGGAAGGACAGAGGAGAGAGCAGGATTGGGTAGTGGAATAATTCATTTAAAATTTTATATTATAAGAATTATATGATCATTGCAGAAAACTTAGCAAATAAAGAGATGTAAAAGAAGCAAAAATTCTCCCATAGTCCCAACACTATGGGAGAATTGGAGGAGATTTTTTATACATTCTTGTCATACATTCTTTTTGTTGGTGGTGGTGGTGTTGTTACAGAGTCTCGCTCTGTCGCCCAGGCTAGAGTGTAGTGGCGTGATCTCGGCTTGCTGTAACCTCCGCCTCCTGGGTTCAAATGATTCTCCTGCCTCAGCCTTCCAAGTAGCTGGGATTACAGGCATGTACCACCACGCCCATCTAATTTTTGTATTTTTAGTAGAGATGGGGTTTCAACATGTTGGTCAAGCTGGTCTCAAACTCTTGACTTCACGATTTGCCTGCCTCGGCCTCCCGAAGTGCTGGGATTACAGGCGTGAGCTACCGCGCCTGGCCATTTTTTATACATTCTTATATGCATGTGTATATATAATTCCTTTTTAAATAATGGTTTCATACTGTACTTATTGTTTCATAATCTACCTTTCTCATGCATATATTATAAACATATTTCATGACAGTTAATACAATCTATTTTGTCATTTTAATAGCTGCAGAGAGAGGCTACACATCCTATGAAAGCTTGTATAATATACGTCTAAGAGAGCTGACTCAGACCAGCCTGCCTAGATGCAGATTTTAGCTCTGCATTGATGAGCTTTATGACCTGGTTAGCGAACCTCTCTGTTCCTAAGTTTCATCATCTGTAAAATGCTGACAGTAACTGTAGTACCTATCTGTGGGATTAGATGAGTTAATATATGCAAAGAATTAAGAACAGAGTCTGGCAATGTATAAGTGCTGTGTAGGTGGTGTTAGTACTTTGTACAAAACACCATTATTTAATTGACCAAAGTCCCTTCTTTCTGATTTTTTTTTTTTTTTTGAATAATGTGATGAACACACTTCTCCTTGGAGTGGGTCAGGAACACTTGTTTGCCTGTTCTCTCAGATACATTCCTAGAATTAAGATTGCTGGGCTAAAAGGGAAGTGCACTAAAAAAATTTTTGATGTTTGTTGTCAGACAAGCCAATTACATTGTTCGTTGCACCAATTTCCGGAACCAGCACGTATGTATGTGAGTGCCACTTCTCTCATACTATTGCCAACAAAAGTACAATCATAGCTATAAACCCTCATTAGTCTGCTAGGTGGAAAATGAGGCTTTAATTTTTATTTGTTATTAGAGGGATTGAAATTTTTATAATTTTGTCAATTTTGTTTCTTTTTTCAAATGGGTACTTGTGGCCTTTGCCTATTTTTCTAAGGAATGTTACTTTTTAAAAATGGATTTCGACTAACTATACATTAATGGTACTCGTATTAGTCAGTTTTCACGCAGCTAAGAAAGACATACCCAATACTGGGAATAAAAAGGGATTTAGTTGGACGTAACAGTTACACATGGCTCGGGAGGCCTCACAATCATGGTGGGAGGTGAAAGGTATTTCTTACATGATGGTGACAAAAGCAAATGAGGAAGAAGCAAAAGTGGAAACCCCTGATAAGTCCGTCAGATCTCGTGAGACTTACTCACCGTCATGAGAATAGCACGGGAAAGATCGGCCCCCATGATTCAATTACCTCCCCCTGTGCACCTCCCACAACATGTGGAAATTCTGGGGTATACATTTCAAAATGAAATTTGCGTTGGGACACAGCCAAACCATATTAGTACTCTATCATATGTTGCAAATCTTATAGATAAAGCTGTTTCACAAAACTTGACTATTAAGTTTGGCATCGTAGCTAAGTTGGGTATGAAAGCGATTACTTGGTTTTTAATAACTTTTTAAAATTTATTTTTTTTTTAATTGCATTTTAGGTTTTGGGGTACATGTGAAGAACATGTAAGATTGTTGCATAGGTACACACATGGCAGTGTGATTTGCTACCTTCCTCCCCATCGCCTATATCTGGCATTTCTCCCCATGCTCTCTCTCCCCAAATCCCCACCCGGCGCTATCCCTCCCCTATTTCCTCCCAACAGACCTCAGTGTGTGATGCTCCCCTCCTTGTGTCCATGTGTTCTCATTGTTCAACACCCGCCTATGAGTGAGAACATGTCGTGTTTGATTTTCTGTTCTTGTGTCAGTTTGCTGAGAATGATGGTTTCCAGTTTCATCCATGTCCCTACAAAGGACACGAACTCATTGTTTTTGATGGCTGCATAGTATTCCATGGTGTATATGTGCCACATTTCCCCTGTCCAGTCTATCATCAATGGGCATTTGGGTTGGTTCCAGGTCTTTGCTATTGTAAACGGTGCTGCAATGAACATTCAGGTGCATGTGTCCTTATAGTAGAATGATTTATAATCCTTTGGATATATACCCAGTAATGGGATTGCTGGGTCAAATGGAATTTCTATGTCTAGGTCCTTAAGGAATTGCCACACTTTCTTCCACAATGATTGAACTACCTTACTCTCCCACCACCAGTGTAAAAAGTGTTGCTGTTTCTCCACATCCTCTCCAGCATCTGTTGTCTCCAGTTTTTAGTAAGTTTTTAAGTGGATTAGTGAATCTTGGTAAAGGGTATATGGAAGTTCTTTCTACTATTCTTCCATTTTTTTTCTCTTTTGTTTATCAAAAGGAGAAGGTCCAGCAACCCCTATTTTTAGGGTTGATTGATTTATGGGGTAACTGGTGCCCCACTCACCCAACCACTACCTACCCTTTTTTTTTTTTTCATTATGTTCGTGGCTGTTACAAATAGAGAGGTCCCACGGCCATGTCTGTGGGCAGCCCGAGACAAGTCTGCAAGCTACCCCTACTGAGATCAGCTGTGCCAAGCTCTGCTCTCCCCTGGCCAGAATGTGGGTCTGGTGAACTAATCATAGCCTTTTGGTTTGCTCAGTATGCTGCTTGAAATGCTTGAGACCCTGTACGCTTTCGTAGCGTCTTTGGTTAGGAGGTCTCCTCCTTCTTCCCACTGGTCTCAGGAGACAGGTGGTGGCCATGCTGCTTGCTTCTGTTTCCTCCATCCCTCACCCATCCATGCTGCTTATGCAAAGACCCACTCACTTAGAGGAGAAAGACTCCACCT